ATGTATATGTGCATTATATTTTGGTATTTGTTCATAGAAATAAATTGCGCAATTTTAATATGTTTGGTTTATGTTCAACAATTTATTTTTATATGTGCAATATAAGTATATTTTTTTGTTTATGTTCAGTATTTATCTTTATGTTCAACAATATATTGTTTGATCTAAGATAGAAATGACTAAAACAAATCTACCAGACGTAACATAACAATAACTACAACAAAAAGGTATCGCATATACCAAATATATAGCAGAAATAAACCATTGGATAATAAAAAAAAAGACAACAAAAAGGTATCGCATATACTAGACGTAACATAAAAAAATTGACAATAAAAGGTATCGCATATACCAAACATATACTGTACATATACTTCAATCCAATGTCTACGAATTTCAACGTAATGACTAACCTACACACAATCCAAAACCCTAAAAAAATCAAAGCAAAATTCAAATTCCCTGCAACCAACCAATCATCTCCCCCCGATTGTTGCGACGCCGAAACCCTCTTTAGAGGACGCCGTCGCCGGCGGCAATTGAGGAAATCATGCTTCGGAATATATTCGTCTTCTCTCTCGTCGACTCCATATAAAGCGATTCTCGCATCGCCTACATGTAGATGACTACCCCTGTCGGGACCGAGGTCCTTCTCCAAAACAACAGTTATAGTCATCTGAAATAATTTCAATGTCACCATACAAGTTAGCTAATCAATTGTTCACAGACAATAGTATCATATACGAAGTTCAAGAAATTCATGGCATATGATCACAAAGCCAACTGCCAAAAAATCACTAATCTCACCAAAAATTACAAACCTAATAATTTAGTGAACAAACAAATAAACAGGACTAAGAACAGCAAAAATTTCTCACAAGTAAAAATAATAAAAGGAAAACGAAAATAAACATTTGCAAATCCATGGCGATGGTGCGGGATGAAGCCGCTGCTGCCCCTAATCCTCGATTGATTTCGAACCATGGTGAAGGAGAGAGAGGAAAAACTTAGGGTTTTTAATGGTGGGGTCGATTTTCCCTTAAGCACGGATGAAATTGTGCGAATTTATGAGATTGTTTTGTCTGAGCTCACAGTTAATTCGAAGTCTATCATCACTTAGGGAGGAGAACAACAACCTGTAGAAGAAGAAGACGAAGACGAGAAAGAGAGAAGAAGAAGAATAGATAGGAAGAGAGAAAAGGCATGATAATTATAGCTCCCATTAAATTTGTTTTTACCATAATTAAAATTAATTATATGTTGATCAATAACCTAGTAAGTTTGTAAATAAAAATCATAATTTTGGTAAATTTACAAATAATTATATATGGGAAAAATTTATGGATACTACATGAAAATAAAGTATTTTCAAATTTACCTTCATACAACAAATAATTTGGGATATACCTAATGAACCAACTTTAATTAACTGATTGCCTAAATATAAGTTACCAATTGTAACTTCTTCCATCCCATATGTGGGTGGCGTGATTTGTGGATGGTTACTAGCANNAAAAAAAAAAAAAAAAAAAACTTCATCCCTCTTTTTATGGATTGATTATGAGAGAAAAATAATTTTATGGGATTGATTAGGAGAGATAAATAAAAATATGCTTATACTAACTCATTTAATTTCTTAATTCATGCACCTTGTATATTTTTAATAGATAGAGAGATAAAAACAGAGCAATTTATATATTTGTTAATATAAAAATAATAAGTGGCCAAAAAACAGAAAAAAAAAGGGGGGGGCGTGGACCAACATAAAAAGCACGTATTTACAAAATACGTTTTTTGTATAATTTAATTAAAAAACGTATTCACTGAATACGTTTTTCACATTTTTTTTTCAAAGAAAACGTATTCACGGAATACGTTTTCCAAATAATTTTTTCAAAAGCCGTATTCCTTGAATACGTGCTTTTGATTCCTTTCCACCTACTTTTTTTTTTTGTCCACCACTTTTCTTTTTTTTTTCTTTTTTTGCCGTAAAAAATTCGATAAAAACATGTATTGTAATTCACGCAGTTGTCTAATGAGTATATGTTGCGTTTGTACTAGTATATATTCAGTATATGTTGCAATGAAAAACGTGTCTTCCATCAAAAAATTATGTCTTTTTTTTTGTTTACTTTTATACATAAAAGTATATATATAGTTTATAAACATATTATAACAGGTTATTTATATTCATATACCAAAAAATCTTTCAATATACTGAACATATATTCCCTATACACACAACATATACCGAACACTTACAAAAAAATCTTTTAATATACTGAACATATACTCATATGGTATATATTGCGTTTATGTTAGTATATAATCAATATGTGTTCCTTCAAAAAGTTATGTGTTTCTTTTTTTTTTTTTTAAGGAAGACATTTTTTTCATTGCAACATATACTGAATATATACTAACATATGTATTCTATTTTTTTATTTTTTTTTTACTTTCATAAATAAAAGTATACACATAGTTTATAAACATATTATAACAGATTACTTATATTTTTTATGAAAATAAATCTTCTAAATATACTAAACATGTACTCTATATACACACAACATATACCCGCAACATATACAAAATGAAACTTACTTACCAATGAATCAAGCACATCAAGTGTTCGACAATAAATCTGATATTATACAGAACATATACTCTATATATACACAATATATACACCCGCAACGTATACAAAATGAAACTTATCTATCAGCGAATCAAACATATCAAGTGTTCAACAATTAACCTCTTATTGAAGACGAAAATAACAAATAAACAATTTTTTTTTTTT